ACATGAATCTGCTGATGAAACAGCAACTAAAAGGACAACAGTGAAATAACAGAGTAAGTGCTTAATTTAAGAATTTACCTTTTTTCAGTCTTGGCATATCTGGTTTAGTTGAATCCGAATCATTTCCTTCCTGAATGAGTGTGCTTGAGCTGTCACTCAGAGGGGACCTGGGCTTGCTTGGAGTCCGTAGACTTGGGAGAACTGTCTGCACGTTACCTTTACAACCCTACAAAAATCATTATAAACATGGGTCACAATTTAACCGATTCAAATATCCAGTTTAAATCAAGTACAGGGATGTGGAGTCATCAGCCTTGGAGAGTTAATGTGGAGACGGGTTATGCAGCAATCTAAAGTAAATTAGGAGCATACATTCTTGACCCATACAGTGCGCAAACTGTAAAAAAGATGAGGCATTAATATTTTTCTGCCATTTGCAAGCCACAGGCCTAAATTTCAAATTGCTCAAATTGAATGTTCAGGTTTTTCTCCCTCTCACAAGAATTCACTAACGTGAATCCTTGTACTACTGTTGGTCATTCACTCAGCCACAGAGAAGGACTAAGTTATAACATACAAATAGCTGAACTGAAACCAGGTGTCCACTGTGGCCGGACTCTGAGTAAGGACATGAAGGACCTAGAGGGACTGTCAAACTTATTTTACATCCACTAGCTAGATAAAGCCCACTTTGATTAGATATTTTGTAACTATCAACCCAGTTACTTTGGTGTAGCATGAATACCCAGAAGGGAGGTGTTTATCAGTAAAGCTAAAGCTGTAAAACCTATAACATTAAAGTTAAAAGTCCAAAATGTATGTCTTCTTTCAACCTGTCCAGTTGGGCCGTACTGGAATATCTGCCGGGCAGCTTCTGGTCTCCGGGCCCTTATTTTTGAAACCCCTAGTTCACGGCATGAAGCGGAGGATTTACCCCTTGCAAGAGTAACACTAAGTCTCAATTGGTTTACCAGAAAATGTGAGCTTCCTGCTTTGGAGATGCATAAGCTGAGGAGAGCCCTGTTACCTTGTTATTTGCTGGCTTGTTTTCCTTTGTCTCCGTCAGTGAGGTTACTGTATCTTCAGCAGGGTCCTCTGGTTTTTTGTCGGCTCTCAGCACATTTTTCTTCCCTGCATAAACATAGACATGAATAAATTTGAGCTCTTCTATCCAACAATTCATTGACATATACGACAAAAAGCACTACCGCTGAGTTTTATTTGTAAACAGCCACGTGTATTTTAACAAACCTAGTCCCTTTTTTGCGCTAACTAGCATTTAGCAGTCGGCTACTACACAAACAGCAACACGTCTCAGTTACCTTTTGCCATGTCAGTACACAAATAAAAATCCACAGAGGACGTGGGAGTTGTTAAATGCAGTCCTGTGTCTTCTGGTTCCTCACTGTACTCAGTTCACTGAAACGACAACGACAAATATCAGACCGCATCACTCCGGAGAGAGCATGGAGGATTTAAAAATACTACTGCGCTTCTCATTGGCTCTTTAGTACAGACGGGAGGGGCTTGGGTTTGAAAACAGCTCTCTGATTGGCCCCAGCTGACTGCTCTGCGTGTTATCGGTCTCTTTGCAAAAGTTTTTTCTCAGTGGCATTATAAGAGTTAATGATAATTATTTTAATAGCAACACAAAACAATCTGTTTCCCTGTTTACCTGTAAAGAGTTTATAAATCCAAAAAGTAATATTAACGGAATATAACATCGAAAAGATAAGAATAAAAGACAATAACTTACAGCTAGAGATCATGATTTTTACTTAGATATGGCTAGAATTGAGCACAGACCCACATTTGCTTTTTAAATAAAACTTTCTAAATAAAACATCCTATTAATGTAGAGAAAGAGATTTTTACTGACATCTAGTGGCCAAAGGATGTAAGAGGTACTGTTAAAAATTATGCAGACATACTGGTCTGAGTATTGTAAAAAAACTGCTGATCCGCTGAGATTTTCCCACACAACCATCTTTAGTGTTTTCAGATAATGGTCTGAATGAGTAAAGATATCCAGTGAGCAGCAGTTCTCTGGGTTAAAATGCCTTCTTGATTATAGAAGTCAGAGGAGGCCAGACTGCTTTGAACAGTAACTCCAATAACCACTTGTTATGGTATTTCCTTGGCATACTTTATGCCCCTTGGTACCAACTGAGTATTGCTGCTGAGAATCCCTTTATGACCACAGAGCACCCATTTTCTGATGGATAACACACCATGTCATAAAGCCAAAAGCATCTTCAACTGCTTGAGTTCACTGTACTCAAATTGCCTCCACAGTCACCAGATCTCAATTCAATAGTTCAATCACAACAGGACATTTATATCATGGATATTCAGCCTACAAATCTGTGCAATGTGACATGAAGACATCCATAGATCAACTCGTCTCTTTTTAAGCTTTCTCTTGTGAAATTCAAATATGCTGAATGCTCCATGGCTTCCAAAATCTTTGCCATCCTACTTCAATCTAAAGGTAAACGAAGCAGACCCCCCTATTTAACTCAAGTTTAGACTCACACGAATAAACAACCAATCACACATCAGTGATGTTTAATTTTATTTTAATCCTTATATGACACACTGATACTGTGCCTGTCTGAAGCTAAACAAATACAATCTTGTTATTAGAACTGACAGCACTTCTTCAGACTGAGGCTTTACAGACACAACGTGCAGGATCATTCAAGTATCTCTGACCTCACCGACCACA